AAAATGTGTGTCTTGCAGTAAAAAAAAAAAAAAAGAAAAAAACCACATATATATATTAGTATCATTATTATTTGAGATGAGGTCTTGCTATATTGCCAAGGCTTGTCTCAAACTCCTGAACTCAAGAGATCTTTCTGCCTCACCCTCCTGAGCAGCTGGGATTACAGGCACATACCACTGTACCAGCTGTTATTTTAAGTGACCTCAGAGAACAGAACTTGATGAACTCATATCTATTAGTTATACTAGCATTATCTTGAAAGTATTTTGCTAGGCACAGACGCTCACACCTGTAATCCCAGCACTTTCAGAGGCCAAGGCAGGTGGATCTCTTGAGCTCAGGAGACCAGCCTGGGCAACATGGTAAAACCCTGTTTCTACCAAAAATACAAAAAATTAGCCAGGTGTGGTGTCGTGTATCTAGAGCCCCAGCTACTTGGGAGGCTGAGGTAGAAGGATCACTTGAGCTCAGAAGACAAAGGTTGTGGTGATGCACTCCAGGCTGGGTGACAGAGACCCTCAGATAAAAAAATTTTATATACATTGTAGAATAATAAAAGTTACTGTTATTAAGGAACAAGAATTTTCAGGTCAGGCATGAAATGAATTTTCAGGTTAGGCTCACACCTGTAATCTCAGCATTTTGGGAGGCCAAGGCAGGCAGACCACCTGAGGTAAGAAGTTCGAGACCAGCATGGCCAACATGGCGAAACCCCATCTTTTTTTTTTTTTTTTTTTGAGACGGAGTTTCGCTCTTGTTACCCAGGCTGGAGTGCAATGGCACGATCTCGGCTCACTGCAACCTCCGCCTCCTGGGTTCAGGCAATTCTCCTGCCTCAGCCTCCTGAGTAGCTGGGACTACAGGCACGCACCACCACGCCAGCTCATTTTTGTATTTTTAGTAGAGACGGGGTTTCACCATGTTGGCCAGGATGGTCTCGATCTCTCTACCCAACTCAGCCTCCCAAAGTGCTGGGATTACAGGCGTGAGCCACCGCGCCGGCCTATTTTTATTTTATTTTTGAGATGGAGTCTTGCTCTGTTGCCCAGGCTGGAGTGCAATGGCGCCATCTCGGCTCACTGCAACCTCCACCTCCCAGGTTCAAGCAATTCTCCTGCCTCAGCCTCTTGAGAGCTGGGATTACAGGCACGTGCCACCATGCCCCTCTAATTTTTGTATTTTTAGTAGAGACAGGGTTTCACCATGTTGGTCAGGCTGGTCTCGAACTCCTGACCTTGTGATCCACCCACCTCAGCCTCCCAAAGTGCTGGGATTACAGGCATGAGCCACTGCGCCCAGCCCTATGATCTGTATTTCAAGACTATTAAATAATTTGTTGATGAAGAAAAACTTTTCGTTTTCTTTTTGAGACACAGTCTTGCTCTGTCACCTACACTGGAGTGCAGTGGTATGATCTTGGCCCACTATAACCTCCACCTCCCAGGCTCAAGCAATCCTCCCTCCTCAGCCTCCTGAACAGCTGGGACTACAGGTGTGTGCCACCTTGCCTGGCTAATTTTTGTATTTTTTGTAGAGACAAGGTTTCACTACATTGCCCAGGCTGGTCTCGAACTCCTGGGCTCAAGTAATCTGCCTGTCTCAGCCTCTCAAAGTACTGGGATTACAGGTATAAGCCACTGTGCCCGGCAGGAAATCTTTATAGAAGCATTTCAATTCATCGAATACATAGGTAATAATACAACTGAGAAATTGGGTGGGCGTGGTGGCTCATACCTATAATTCCAGAATTTGGGGAGGCATAGGCAGATGGATGGATCACCTCAGGTCAGGTGTTCAAGACCAGCCTAGCCAACATGGTTAAAACACATCTCTACTAAAAATAACCAAAAATTAGCCACTACAGGTGGCACACGCCTGTAGTCACAGCTACTTGGGATGCTGAGGCAGAGGAATCCCTTCAACTCGGGAGGCAGAGGTTATAGTGAGTCAAGATCGTGCCACTACTGTCTACACTAGGCGACAGAGCAAGACTCTGGTTGGAAGTAAATAAATAAATAAAGATAGAACTGGAAAATCACCATTTGTGGCTGGGCATGGTGGGTCGTGGCTATAATCCCAACACTCTGGAAGGCCGAAGTAGGAGGATTACTTGAGCCCAGGAGTTTGAGACTGGTTTAGGCAAGAATGGTGAGACCTGGTTTCTAAAAAAAAAAAAAAAAAAAAATTAGTCACATGTGGCGCTGCATGCCTGTAGCTGTTTGGATAGCTAAGGCGAAAGGATCCCTGGAGCCCAGGAATTCAAGTAGTGGTGAGCCATGATCACACCACTGTACTCCAGCCTGGGCCACAGAAAGAGACCCTATCTCTATAAAAAAATAAATAAAAATTTAAAAATTAGTCAAAACAAGGGCCACATAGCGAGACCTTGTCTCTACTAAAAATTTAAAATTTAGCCAGGCATGGTGGTGCATGCCTGAAGTCCCAGCTACTTGGGAGGCTGAGGCAGGAGGATCACTTGAGTCAGGAGTGCAAGTCTGCAGTGAGTCATGACGGTGCCACTGCATTCCAGCTGAGTGACAGAGGGAGACCCTGTCTCAAAAACCAAAAAATTAAGGTATGGTGGCAAATGACTATAATTCCAGCTTCTTGGGAGGCTGAGGCAGGAGGATGCTTAATCCAGGGAGGTCACGCCTGCAGTCAGTTGTGATTGTGCCACTGTACTCCAGCTTAAGTGACAAGAATGAGATCCTGCCTCAATTAAAAAAAAAAAAAAAAAAAAAAGCAGCAGCAAATCACCATTTGCCGTTTCAACTAAAATGATTAATTCAGGCTATGATCATCCATGGATAAAATCACTTGACAGAAAAGAACTTTACAATTGAAGGAACCTTACCTGAACCCAGTGATCACATTAGCATTACTAAAAATAGGAGAGTCAGACATCCTGTTTCTCCTGATGGGAGGCAATACACAGTTTACAGTAACACCGAAAAAGCTAAAAAAAGTTGCACCCAAATCTAGTCAAGGCATTTAAAGCTAACCTCCACTTAACAAAATGATGAAAACAACACAACAAATTAAATAAGAGGTTTCCTGACTCTTAGCCAGTGAATAAATCTTTCCACTATACCACTCCTAACCTCTCTGACCCTCAGAACAAAATAGAAGCTACAACAAAATAGATTTTCAAAAGGCACTGACGGGCCAGGTGTGGTGGCTCATGCCTGTAATCCCAGCACTTTGGGAGGCTGAGGTGGGGGAATCACAAGGTCAGGAGACAGAGACCATCCTGGCTAACACGTGAAACCCTGTCTCTACTAAAAATGCAAAAAGTTAGCTGGGTGGCATGCGCCTGTAGTCCCAACTACTCAGGAGGCTGAGGTAGGAGAACTGCTTGAATCCGGGAGGCGGAGGTTGCAGTGAGCTGAGACACCACCACTGTACTCCAGCCTGGGTGACAGAGCAAGACTCTGTCTCTGTGCCCCCACTCCCCACCACAAAAAAAAAAAAAAAAAAAAAAAAAAAAGGCACTGATCTAGTTTGGATTATCTGTCCCCTCCAAATCTCATTGTTGAAATGTGGTCCCCAATGATGGAGATGAGGCCTAGTGGGAGGTGTTTGGGTCATGGGGGTGGATCCCTCATGGATGGCTTGGTACCCTCCTGATACGGTTTGGCTGTGACCCCACCCAAATCTCATCTTCAATTATAGCTCCCATAATTCCCATGTGTTGTGGGAGGGACCCAGTGGGAGATAAGTGAATCATGGGGGCAGCTCCCCCATACTATTCTCATGGTAGTAAATCTCATGAGATCTGATGGTTTTATAAGGGGAGACCCCTTTTGCTTGGTTCTGATAAGTGCCTTTCATGTTCCACCAGGACTGTGAGGCCTCCCTAGCCGCGAGGAACTATGAGTCCATTAAACCTCTCTTTCTTTATAAATTATCCAGTCTCGGGTATGTCTTTATCAGCAGCATGAAAACGGACTGACACACCTCCCCACCGTACAGTAATGAGTGAAGTAGTTGTTAATGCACACAAGAGCTGCTTGTTTAAAGGAGCCTGGCACCTCCTCCTTTCTCTCTTGCTCCTTTTCTCACCATATGACACGCCTGTTCCCCTTTTGCTTTCTGCTGTGAGTAAAACCCTCCTGAGGCCTCACCAGAAGCCAGACAGATGCAAGAGTCATGTTTATACAGCCTGAAGAACTGTGAGCCAAATATAAATGACCAAGTCTTATGTACTCCTTTATAGCAACACAAAACAAACTAACACAGGCACCTTTCTTCAACCACAGCATTCAGAAGCCTTCTTAATTTTTTTTTTAATGTCTGCTCCCAGACTAGAACTAAGCAGCCAAAGTGAATGCTTAGCACACTCTCAGGGAAGCACAGCTCTGTCTTGCGCCAGTGCCAGACGCCACCAGAACAGTGGAGGAGGCAACTGGATGAAGACAAGACATTCCTCTCCCAGCAGTGTAACACCGACACAGGAATGGTTCTGTCCCGACGGCTGACTACTGCTGGAAAGAAACCTGCTCAATTTTAAATCTGCCAGTCACTTTAAGGTTGCTGGATCTCACAGTGCTAAGTATAAACAGTTACTTTTTTTTGTTGTTTGTTTTTAAGATGGGGTTTCACCATGATGGCCAGGCTGGTCTTGAACTCCTGACCTCAGGTGATCCACCCACCTCGGCCTCCCAAAGTGCTAGGATTACAGGTGTGAGCCACTGCGCCCGGCCCTAAACAGTTACTTTTTTGATCTGTGTCTGAAAAAGTACATGCAAGCTTAATTTTATAAATCAAACTGTATTTAGTTAAAAAGGCAGGGTAATAGCAGAATCTAAAGAGAATCTTACTGAGACTTAGGTAAGGTGAATGGCTTAAGTACCAAACTTATTTCTGTTCTTCAGATCGTGTTTGCATTCAGCAGCTCGCCCTTGTCACGTGTTAAAATGGCCATAAAATGCTGAGAAAAAGTCACAGCAAACTCTGACTTCCTGACCATACTGATGGGAAAGGTCACAAACACAGTCACCTCAAAGACTGAGCGCTGTAGAACATGTCTTCCTCCTCAAGGCCAATGATACTTCAGATACCAGATGGTTTCGTTTTTCAGCTGTGGTCCAAAGAGAGGGTTGAGTTGGGCCAGAATCGCAATTAGCCAACTAAAAGAAGGATGGGAGAGGAACAACAGTAAGTGGTGAAATCATGTTGGAACATGACCATTTTTAATTAGCATGGAGAAAATGTACTAGCGAAACTTAAATCTATTCCATTCATACCAAACCTTCCACAGGCCTTGTGCTAACAGCAGCACGTCTGATAACAAAACGTTTCCCAGGACGTAGCCTGCCTTCATCCTGAGACATATCACAAGGCAGTGAGGCTTCATCACAGTATGTTTCTGTCTTTTCTCTCATTACCTGATTATCTTTCCAAATATCCAAGATTTCCTGAATTCATGATATCTTCGCTTCAAAGTATTTTCACTTAATCTCAATTTATCATCATCATAACGTCCAACCTCAGGAAAAATAGGTCTTATTTTATCCATTCTCCAAATGTTAAGACCCACAACCTATATGACACACTCATTTTTACTGGTAAAGGAAAGGTTTGATTTCAGCTTATCATCTTCCAATTAGACTATAACACGTATGATCCCCTTCTCTAATCCCCATCGCCACTAAAATATGTAATACATCCTATTGTGGAACTTAACAAAATGGGCATTTACCTTGTCCCCAGTTTACTTCAGAATCTAAATAACAAGGTATTGTTCTGTATTACAGACTAACTATAAAGTAAGTACAATGGTGTCATATCTTACTTCAGGGTTAAAAGTGAAAAATAGGTTGGGTGCAGTGGCTCATGTCTTTAATCCCAGCACTTTGAAAGGATGAGGATCAGTTGAAGCCAGGAGTTTATGACCAGCCTGGGCAACACAGTAAGAACCTGTCTCTACAAAAAATTTTTAAAAGTAAGCCAGGTTTGCTGACTTGCACCTGTAGTCACAGCTACTCAGGAGGCTAAGGTAGGAGGATCCCTTGAGACTGGGAGTTTAAGGCTGCAGTGCTATAATTATATCACTGCACTCCAGCCTAGGTGACAGAGTTAAACCCTGTCTCTAAAAAAAGAAAAGAAAAATAGCATAGGTTTATCTTTAAATTTTCTTATATTACAAAGTTCTACATAAAGGGTCTTATATATGATATGGTAATTCATATGCCAAATAAGGTTTGAGCTCAGACAAAAACAAAGAACAAAAAGACAATATACAATTATCTGGCTATTCAAACCATTCTTCACTTACTAAAGGAATATTTAATGAGCACCTACTAGATTCCAGGCCTCAGAAATACAGTGGAGAAAAATGAAATGTCCCTATCCTCACAGAACTTACATAATATAATGTCAGGTGGTAACTGTTACGAAGGAAATCAAGCAGGGAGAAGGAACAGAGAATGGCTTGTGGGGGCATTACTTTGACAGGGTGGTCAGGGAAGGAGGTAACACTTGAGCAGACAGGGGAATGAAGCAGAATACACACTGCCTTTACTTCCTACTCAAAATACAGTTGACCCTGAAACAACATGGGTTTGAACCATGCAGACTGACTTGGATGCCTGGGTCTGCTTATATGCCCACCTCTCCTGCTTCCACCTCTCCTGCTTCCACCTCCTCCATCCCCTTCTTCTGCCTCTACCACAGGTAAGACAGCAGGACCAACCCCTCTTCTTCCTCCTCCTCAGCCTGCTCAGTATGAAGACAACAAGGATGAAGACCTTTATGATGATCCACTTAATAGTAAACATATTTTCTCTTCCTTATGATTTTCTTAACCTTTTCTTTACTCTACCTTCCTTTATTATAGGAACATAAGATATAATACATATAAAAACTATGTGTTAATTAACCGTTTATGTTATTGGTAAAACCCCTGATCAATAGTAGGCTATTAGTAGTTACATCTGGGTGAATTTAAAAGTTATAAATGGATTTTCAGCTGTGCAAGGGATCGGAACCTCTAGCATCCACATTATTCAAAGGTCTACTGTGTATGAATTTGAACTTCTCTTACTGGCAGGGCAGTGGTTGGGGGAGGAGGGCAGGGTTAAGGTAAACAAGCCCAACCAACCTCCAACTACCGATCTCGGAAAGTGACATTTAGTAACATACTGCATTCCTTTTTTTTTTTTTTTTTCTCGAGACGGAGTCTCACTCTGTTGCTCAGGCTGAAGTGCAGTGGCACAATCTCAGTTCACTGCAACCTCCACCTCCCAGGGTCAAGCGATTCTCCTGCCTCAGCCTCCTGAGTAGCTGGGATTACAGGTGCCTGTCACCATGACTGGCTAATTTTTGTATTTTTAGTAGAGGTGGGGTTTCATCATCTTGGCCAGGCTGGTCTTGAACTCCTGACCTCAGGTGATCCACCCACCTTGGCTTCCCAAAGTGCTGGGATTACAGGTGTGAGCCACCGTACCCAGCCCATACTGCTATCCTTTCTGCATGGAATCTAGGGAATCGGTTTCTTTCTTTTCTTCGTTTCTTTTCCTTCCTTCCCTTCCTTCTTCCGTCCCTCCCCTCTTCTCTCTCTTACTTTTTTCTGAAATGCAGTCTCGCTCTGTTGCCCAGGCTGGAGTACAGTGGTGCAATCTTGGCTCACTACAACCTCCACTTCCCGGGTTCAAGTAATTCTCCTGCCTCAGCCTCCCGAGCAGATGACCCATCATGCCTGGCTAATTTTTGTATTTTTGTAGAGTCAGGGAGGGTTTCACTATGTTGGCCAAGCTGGTCTTAAACTCCTGACCTCGTGATCTGCCTGCCTTGGTCTCCCAAAGTGCTGGGATTACAGGCGTGAGCCACCGTGCCTGACTGGGAATTGCTTTCGAAGGAAAAGTAGATATATCACTACAGCAGTCTCCTTTTAAACTTTCAGGACTTTAAATTTCCCTATAAGAGGGCAATGAGCCAAACCTCAACTAGGTCATTATCTGGGTGGATCTCTTTTCTCCCATTTGCTGTCATTTTTAGAGCTTTTCCAATCACAGGATCAAAAGACTGATTCTGATCACCAGTGGAGAGATTGCTGGAGAATTAGCCAGCACCGCATCAGAAGTTTGTGCCTACAGAAACAAAAGGTGATTCTGTGACAGGAAACATGACACCTGAGGAAACCAGGCCAAAATAGCTCAAGCTCACTCACTTAATAAACAAAAAGTTCATTCAGATGAGATTCTCTGATCCATACTCAAACATAATACCAAGACTTGTAGTTGAGGTTTAACATCCATCTGACATTACAAAAAAGGAGGAGGAGAACAGCACAGGGAGATACACTCAAGAGCTCTGTGACTGCAGTCAACGCTAATGCTGCAGAGCTAAGAGTCATGGAAAATTCCAAGCTAACCGAGGACTTCCCCAATCCCAGCAGGCAATACAAGCTGCCTGAAAAAAACACTTTCGTAAGAGACTGAGACAACTGGCCAATGCTTAGAAATACTAAATAAAAAATACATTAGAATTTAAACTAGCCTATCTCCTTTCGTAGCTAAGAATATATAGCACAGAATGAAAACACCACTTCCCAGCACTTTGTAGGATGTTGTATCAGAGTGATTTTCTTCCCCAGCTGCAAATTATAATCACTCTGGGAACTTTTAAAATATACTGATACTATTTCTGAGAGTGGAAAAAACACGGACTCCTTTTCCTCTGCTTTCACACCATGATAATCAACACAGAAGACTTCTACAGCCAAACATGTGGGGATTTCTCCCCACCAACAAGCACACAATCAATTCTGCAGCCAACACCAGCTGGCTCTCCTCCAATTCAATCCTGATACTATCTATCTGGAGATAGCATCGGATCTCACAGGGTGAGTGCTTGGTTCCACAAGACTGCCCCTCACTTCTGATGGCAATCGCAAGCCTCAGGTTGTTCTACCTGTGTTTCTAACCAACTGGCTATAAACTGGGGAGGCCCCAACCCTCCTTATGTTCAATTATTTGCTAGAGCAGGTCACAGAACTCAGGGAAACACGTTTTTCTGGTTTACCATAAAAGATATTACAGTCTGGGCATGGTGGCCCAGCACTTTGGGAGGCTGAGGCAGGTGGATCACTTGAGCCCAGGAGTTCAAGAGCACCCTGGCCAACACAGTGAAACCCCGTCTCTACTAAAAATACAAAAATTAGCTGGGCATGGTGGTGCACATCTGTGGTCGCTGCTACTCGGGAGGCTGAGGCAGGAGAATCACTTGAACCTGGGAGGCAGAGGTTGCAATGAGCCAAGACTGCACCACTGCACTTTAACCTGGGTGACAGAGTGAGACTCTTGTCTCAAACAAACAAAAGATATTACAGAAGATACAGATGAAGGGATATACAGGGTGAGCTATGGAAAGGGGCACAAAGTTCCCATGCCCATCCTGGGAACACCACCCTCCAGGAATAGCTTCTAGCTTTCCTGAACCTCTCAGAACTCAGTCTTTTTGGGTTTTTACGGAACCTTCATTGTGTAGGCATGATTGATTACATCACTGGCCATTGGTGACCAGTTTAACGTTCAGCCCCTCCCTCTTCCCCTGAGGTTGGGCTGTGGGGCTGAAAGTCGATTCTAATCCTTCCTTGGTTGTCTGGTGATCAGATCCCTCCCTTGAGCTACCAAGGGGCTGCCAATCATCAGTCAACTCATTAGCATACAAAGAAACATATGCCTTTGGAGATTCCAAGGATTTTAGAAGTTGTATACCAGGAAATAGGGACAAAGACTAAATTATATTTCACAACATCACAACTTCACATATAGCCTTTCATTTAATTCTTGTACTAGGAAACAGGCAGAGAAAGGCTGATTGGCCTATGGTCACAATGCTAATTAGGTGGTAGTAGATCCTAGACCAGGAATCAGATCAGATTAATGTTCCCACTTCAAAAAGTGACCTTATGGAATATTTGAACTGAAAACATTTCAGAAGGCATGAATATAGCTAAATCTAAATTGAGAATTCAGAAAATGAGAGTCCATCCACTTAGCACTGACAAGCCTTTGGTACCTTCGTTAAAGAATATCCAGAAGCAAGAATGAAGACCACTTTGCTTGCTCAAGTCACTATTTAGAAACTTTCTTTTTCTCCTTATTTACTATTTCTCTGTGTTGGT